ACTCCATAATCACTGGGAAGATCTAACCTGTAAGCATTATCATTAATTCTTTGGAGGACTTGGAAGGGACCATCTCCTCTTGGGTTGAGTTTAGACTTCCTTTGAGAAGGAAACCTTTCCTTTCTCAAGTGAAGCCAAACCCAATCCCCTTCCTCAAAAATGAGGGTTTTCTTTCCCTTGCTTCTATCTAAAGCAGTTCTCTCATTTTGTTGTTGTATATGAGTTTTAGCCTTCTCATGTAATTTCTTAACAAATTCAGCCCTAGATACCCCTTCTTTATGAAAATAATGAGAAGAGTCTGGTAGGAGTATTAGGTCCAAAGGAGTAAGAGGGTTAAAACCATATACAACCTCAAAAGGTGAGATTTTGGTAGTCTTATGGACTACCCTGTTGTAAGCAAATTCAATGTGGGGCAAGTATTCATCCCAAGACTTATGGTTACCCTTAAGGACCACCCTTAACATTGTAGATAGGGATCTATTAACTACTTCTGTTTGCCCATCAGTTTGTGGGTGACAAGTAATAGAGAAAAGTAATTTAGTTCCTAGTCTACTCCAAAGAGTTTTCCAGAAATGGCTAAGGAACTTAGTATCCCTATCTGAAACAATGGTTTTGGGAAGACCATGAAGTCTAACCACTTCCTTGAAGAAGAGTCTTGCTATGTTGCTTGCATCATCTATTTTGTGGCAGGGTATAAAGTGGGCCATTTTACTAAATCTGTCCACTACCACAAAAATAGAATCCATGCCTCTCTGGGTCTTGGGCAAGCCCAAAATAAAATCCATACTGATATCAACCCATGGTATACGACAAAGCCGTGAGGGAAAGGTCTGGAGAGACTGTACTCACATCCCAATCCGGTATACGACAAAGCCGTGAGGGAAAGGTCTGGAGAGACTGTACTCGCATCCCAATCCGGTATATGACAAAGCCATGAGGGAAAGGTCTGGAGAGACTGTTCTCGCATCCCAATCCAGTATACGACAAAGCCGTGAGGGAAAGGTTTGGAGAGACTGTAGTCATCTCCCAATCCAGTATATGACAAAGCCGTGAGGGAAGCTGAGCTACGAAAATACTCCCTCTTTAACAAGCTACAATAGAGTATGCAACCAACACCAAAGAGACGAGGAGGAGACCCGGACGAAATGTCTACGTCTTTACTTGCCTTTAGAAAAGCAACACATAGCTACTCCAAAGGACAAGTAAAGAGGGGCAGCTGTAGACACCCAATTTCGTCCGGGGGCACACAAATAAGGAAATGGACCTTCGCTATGAAGGGAAAGAGCTTTCAAAGCGGGCAAAATAACAAGACAGGACATTAGAAGGCTTAAAGGCCAAATAAGGTGATTTTAATAGCCTAGAACGGGCTGTTCCAAAATCGGAACGGGCCGTTCTGAACACTAGAACAGGCCATTCTGATATCAGAACGGGCCGTTCTAATGTGACAAAAATGCCTAAAGGGATCCACGCTGGAACGGGCCATTCCAATACCAGAACGGGCCGTTCCAGTACCAGAATGGGCCGTTCCAAAGAATGTTAAATTTGGAATGGGGCCGTTCTGGAAAGGGGAATTTTGTGTTTATTTCCACTCTGGAACGGGCCGTTCTATTTTCAGAATGGGTCGTTCCAGGGAGCATAATTTGCACATAAAAGATTGGCCCAGAACGGGCCGTTCCAAATCTGGAACGGGCCGTTCTGGTCCCCTTCTTTTTCCTATAAATAGAAGCCTCGGGCATAGTTCTCATGGCGGCCAGGGAAATTTTGAATAAGACTCTTTTGAGCACGAAATTTCTCAATCTCTCTCCCCTTCTATTGTATTTCTTGAGAT